GGCAGCTAACAAATACATGAGGAAATGCTCACGATCATTAACCATTAGAGAAATGCAGACCAAAACTACAATGAGATACCATCTCGCCCCAAAAAGGCTAGCACTAATCCAAAAAACAAAAAATGATAAATGTTGGAGAGGTTGTGGAGAGACTGAACTACTTATATACTGCTGGTGGAAGTGTAAAATGGTACAATTACTTTGGAAATCAATTTTGCGCTTCCTTAAAAAGCTAGAAATAGAAGTACCATACAATCCAGCAATTCCACTCCTTGGAATATATCCTAGAGAAATAAGAGCTGTCACACGAATAGATATATGCACACCCATGTTTATTGCAGCACTGTTCACAATAGCAAAAAGATGGAAACAAACTAGGTGCCCATCAACAGATGAATGGATAAGCAAGTTATGGTACGTACACACGATGGAATACTACACAACGATAAAGAACATTGATGAATCTGTGAAACATCTCCCAACATGGATGAATCTGGAAACATTATGCTGAGTGAAATTAGTCCAACGCAAAAGGACAAACATTGTATGAGGCCACTACTATAAGAACTCAAGAAAAGGTATAAACACAGAAGAAAACATTCTTTTATGGTTACGAGGGTGGGGAGGGAGGAAGAGGTGATTCACTAACTAGATAGTAGACAAGAATTACCTTAGGTGAAAGGAAGGACAACACACAATACAGGGGAAGTCAGCACAACTGGTTTAAACTGAAAGCTAAGAAGTTTCCTGAATACAGCCAAACACTTCAAGGGACAGAGTAGCAGGGATGAGGGTCTGGGGACCATGGTTTCAGGGAACATCTAGGTCAATTGACATAACAAAGTTTATTAAGAAAATATAGTGCATCCCACTTTGGTGAGTGGTGTCTGGGGTCTTAAAAGCTTGCGAGCGGCCCTCTAAGATGCATCAATTGGTCCCAACCCACCTGAGCAAAGGAAAATGAAGAACACCAAAGGCGCAAGGAAAATGTTAGCCCAAGAGACAGAAGGGCCACATAAACCAGAGACTCCATCAGCCTGAGACCGGAAGAACTAGATGATGACCAGCTACCACCAATGACTGCCCTGACAGGGAACACAACAGAGAGTTCCTGACTGGGCAGGAGAAAAGTGTGGTGCAGAACTCAAATTCATGTAAAAAGATGAGACTTAATGGTCTGATTGAGACTGGAGGAGCCCTCGAAGCCATGGCCCCCGGACACTCTGTTGACCCAGAACTAAAACTGTTCCCGAAGCCAACTCTTCAGACAAAAGGTTAGACTGGCCTATAAAACATAAAATAATACTCATGAAGAGTGTGCTTCTTAGTTCAAGCAGAAACACGAGACTAAATGAGTGGCTCCTGTCCAGAGGCGGGATGAGAAGGCAGAAAGGGACAGTAGCTGGTTGGATGGACATGGGAAACCCCGGGTGGAAAGGGGAGTGTGCTGTCACATTACAGGGATTGCAACTAGTGTCACATAACAATATATGTATAAATTTTTGTGTGAGAAATTAACTTGAGCTGTAAACTTTCACCTAAAGCACAATAAAAAAGATTAGATCTTCTTTAACCAGTATTATAGAATGAAGATCAAAATCTGAAATGCTCATCTAAAACATACCACTTCAGCATGTAATCTGCTTACATAAAACATTTACCTAATTGTTTAATTTTGGTAGCTTTTCAAATTGGAAGTTTGTTATATTGTAAAGATAAAACACCCAGGAGGTAGCATATTGTTTTCATTTTCATATTCATCTCCTATAGTTATAGAAAAGAACATATATTATGCAAAGTAGAATATTATTGCTCAAGGAAAAAAGGAAAAAACAAAAACTGAGTGTCTCACAGTCCCCCAATCTATGGAAGACACCCGCCAGTTCCTGGGTTTTGCGCACTGTTACATTAAGTGAGGAGCCCTGGTGGCGCAGTGGTTAAGCACTCAGCTGCTAATTGGAAGGTTGGCAGTTCAAACACGCCAGCCACTCCATGGGAGAAAGATGTGGCAGTGTGCTTCCATAAAGATTACAGCCTTGGAAACCCTATGGGGCAGTTCTGCTCTGTCCTACAGGGTCTCTCTGAGTTGGAATCAACTCATCGGCAACGGGTTTGGTTTTTAGTTCTTACTTTAGGTATACTTTATAGTTTGTTGGCCTCTCTGCCAGTGACCAACACCCAAAGAAGAGCTCTAGGGCTCACTGAAACTCAGGTCACACAGGTGGAAGGGCTGTCCAGCCAGCGGGAAACTTAGCTCCTCAGTTTCCATAGAAAGATGTCAGCCCTACCATCTCTTTGTTTTCTCAACCACCCTGGGCATTTAACAGTGGTTCTTCTGATACTCTAACCCTATTCCTCACCTTCCGGGTTTTGATTTTCCTGAGTCCTATTCTAAAACCAGCAAAAGAAACAATATTTACACTGCAGAACCTTGTCGGAGGGTATAACATCAACTTATCTGCCAACTAGCTCTTAACAAGTGTTTGTTTAAGAGCTCTTGTGTTTCTAAACAAATGATTATCTATGTAATCCTTTCATTGCTCTAGTAGTAATGCACAGTGAAAAATACATGTTACATTATGGCCTAATCCGTGGATGTACACACACTTACAACTGAAACACTGGTTTTTTGTTTGTTTGTTTTGTTTTGTTTTTTAATTCTACTCTGTTGTATTCCATTTTTTTTCAAGGATGGTCATGGTACACTAAATTCATTTCATTACTTAATAAAGCGTCACAACGTGGATCATGTTTATTATCAGAAAGCTGCTGCTTGGACCAGCTTATCAGAGGCCCTACAGAATTGCTTTATTAAGTGTGCTTTGGTATTATGGTATTATTCAGTGAACAATCCTAGGAAACATCTTTATCTGTTTGCTTTAGCTTCTAGGAAGTTCAATGCCAAGTATATGGCACTGTAGTGTCAGTTTTAACTGTCCCTATAGCTGCATGTTGTTCTTCCCCTGTTCTATGCATTCTGGTTTAATGTTTTGTTTTTTATTTATATTTTATTATATGCATGTGATCTCAAAACCTTTGTGTAAAAATTGGGAAATAACCAGTCTTCACATATCACACTCTGCAGGGCCTATTCATAGTGATGATTGATCCATCTGCTCTCATGAGGAAAGTTATTTCTACCTTGGCCCACTTTCTCCGAAATGACACTGGCAAAGTGTAAGACAACCCCATATGAGGAACATGTGTTAGTGCTAGTAAAAGCCACTTAGGAAACCTGGAGTTTTCACCTAGAGTGAGCTAAATACCCTGCCACCTGCCCATGCCACTTGTACCTCTAGTCATAGCGGGCCTCAGTGATCCTCTTCCAGATGTGTTTGTGTTGGGTAAATGACCTAGTGTCACCCTAAGTAAGGTGGCTTTGTCCTTGGCTGCAGAGAAGTAACCTTTGGAGTAATTTGGGGCCCTTGGTTTGGGCTACACCTGAGAATTTGTGCTGGCAAGTGGGGGCTGGCCAGATCAGAAAAGACTCACCTGGGAGGCCACTATCGGCTAGCCTCAAGAGGCATAGTTTAGCTTATCACGCAAGACTGGCTGATAAAAGCCCTGAGCACAGAGGCTCAGAGAGCTTTCTAGTTGACCATAACATCTGATCTAAAGAGGGTAGTGCATCCCTGGGGACATGGAAGCTTTGAGTTAGGAACCCTCCCAGACCTAACCCTGTGCATATCTTCATTTGTATCTTTTTTTGGCTATAATAAATCTGTAGTTGTAAGTATAATGCACTCTCCATGAGTTCTGTGAGTTGGTTTGGAAAATTATCCAATCAGAAGGTCAATGGGAGCCAGTGAGTCAGAAAGTAAGGATGTCTTGTGGACTCCTGAGCTTGCAGCTGGCACCCTGAAGCGGTATTAGGAAGCCAGCCTTGAATTTGTGGTCAGCAGGTGAGAAGGTTGAGGTGTCATGTGGACTCCCCAAACTTGCAGCTGGTATCTGCCTATTTGGTCTGAAGGACAGTGTCCTTTTAACTTGTGAGCTCTGACCTAGGTCTGGGAGGCTAGGGTCAGAGAGAGAGAGAGAGTACGGTGGGTGGCGGGGGGAGGGGAGCAGCTAGGGGCAATGATGGAGAAGTAGGAAAGTAGGGACTGGATCACTTTCCACAGTTCAGGGGTTTGATTCATGCTGATCCTTACCATGCAGCGTGTTGGGCGGAATAATGACCCCCACCAAAGATGCCCAAACCGTAATCCCCGCAACATGACAAAAGGGACTTTGCGTTCCTTAATAAAGTAAGGAATCTAGGCAATTATGGCAAAAGGAACTTTGCAGCTGTGATTAGGTTAAGACTGTTGAGATGGGGAGAAAGTCCTGAATGATCCAATCTAATCACATGAGTCCTTAGAAGTGAAGAACCTTTCTCAGCTGTGTTAGCAGGCTATGTGACTATGGAGGAATGATCAGAGAGATGCAACATTGCTGGCTTTGAAAATAGAAGAAGGGGGCTATGAGTCAAGGAATGTGGGTGGCCTTTAGGAGCTGGAGAAGTCAAGGAAATAGATTCTCCCCTAGAACCTCCAAAAAGGAATGCACCCCTGCTGACACCTTCATTTTAGCCCAGGGACACCTTCGTTGGACTACTAACCTTGTAGTCATTTATGCAAGTGGGAGCATTTATCACACCTGAAAATGCATCATCAAGCATAGCATCAGTGCTTTACTTCACATAGAATCAAATATTTCTATACATTGGAAAGGAAGGAGTGAAGATTTGGGGCTGACAAATATTTGTATGCACTAACAGGTATTTAATGATTTGCAAAGCTGTCTCATAGTATAAAATAGGAGAAAAGATAAAATAGCATTATAGTTTCTACTCATCTGTGTCTACATACAGTCTGACCAGGACCTGGTTCCTAGCATCTCATAATTCTCCTCGGCACATCTCAGTTTATGAGACCACTGAAATGAAGTAGAGTTTTTAGCATCCAAACACAGCTCTCATGACATTTTCCAAGTGCGTATTTTTACTGTTGTTTCCATAGATTGCAAAATTGGGAAATCTTCTAGAGTCAAAAGAAGACCACTGCAACAGACTCATTGAAGAAAATGACAAGTATCAAACACATTTAGGCAACTTAACAGATAAGGTACAAATTTTCTTACAAAAATATTTACCTTTTAAGAAGTGTGCCAAATATTAAAGTGATAGGACTGGAGTAAAAAGGATCTGAGGGATGATGTAGCACATTTATATTGATCCCTTTTACTTCATAATGACATTATAAAATGTCCCCATTAGCCTTGCAGTTGAAACCTAGCAAAAAACACTGTGTGAGTCTGTCCATTGTGCAGTGAACAATTTAAAGTTTTAGTATTACTACCTAACTTTCAGGGAAATTGTAAATCTTGCCAACTTAATGTTCTAGTTTACTTTTTAAAAACTGTATTAATTTTAACCAAATAGACTAATCCATTTCTTTTTAATATTAAAATGGCAATTCTTAAGCATTACATTTTTGTGTGTGGAAGACAACGATTATATATAGTTGACTCACTGTGATTATCTACTTCTTGGCACTTCACTTTTTCTTCATGATGAACAGGCACATTATCATTTTATTTTTACTCATATTCCTACCTCAAAATATAAGGAAGACATTTTACTTTTTGTAAAACTTTCACTGAGGAAGTCAGAATTGAACTTCTACTTGTAGAGATTTTTATAAAAAACAAAAAATAAATAAAATTAAAGAAAAATCTTAGACTTTATCAGAGAATCATTTGTTTAGCTTATTTTTTCCCAAGGTTTTGTCATATGAAGAAATTATCAAATGTGCTGACCAAAGGCTTCAGATATCCCACTCCCAGATTGCACAGTAAGTTGAAAAAGCTTAAAATAATCATTAATTTTGTAAACATTTGCTAATATTTTATTTCACTCTTTGGGTTGCTAAGTGCATTTTCTCAGACTCCTTGAAAGAGGGAAAATCTGTAGTTTTATAAATTAAGATCATTCTTCATTAATTAGGCCAGTCTGCTTAATGTTTGGGCTGCTTGAACTGAGTTGAACATCCAGATTGTCCTTTTCCTTTCTCAGAGACCCTTTTGATTTCAAAGGGTGGTGAACAAATTAGTAGGAATCATCCAAAAATTTTAGAGGATATTATCATGGTATGCAAGTAATTTAGGAGTCCCTGGGTGGTGCAAACAGTTAATGCACTCAGCTGCTATTCGAAAGGTTTGAGTTTCGAGTCCACCCAAAGGCACCTTAGAAGAAAGTCCTGGTGATCTACTTCCAAAAATCGGTCGTTGAAAACCCCATGGAGCACAGCGCTACTCTGATATACATGGTATCACCATGAGTTGGAATCGACTCGAAGGCAGCTGGCGTTTTAAGTAAGATAGATTTGCAATGCTTAGAATTTATTCACAGAAAGTTATTGAATGCACACCAAATTAAGCGTCGTGTACCATACCTGTTTCCGTCGAGTCAATTTAGACTCATAGCGACCCAATAGGACAGAGTAGAACTGCTCCATAGGGTTTCCAAGGAGTGGCTGGTGGATTCAAACTGCCAAGCTTTTGGTTAACAGCCGAGCTCTTAACCATTGCACCACTAGGGCTTCAAATTAAACATATCCATATGTATGTTGTTTTTGTTGTTAAGTGCCGTTGAGTCAGTTCTGACTCATAGCAACCCTATATATATCAAGTACCAAATAATCTTTCTAATCAGAATGAGATTCAGCTTGAAACCCTCTAAAATTGGTGTTCTTAAATTCTGAAAATTTATTCTATTTATTATCCTTATTTCTAGTATGCTTCTTCCTTTTTCCAATTTCATGTATACCAACTGTATCGGCTATCACTAGGGCTTAAGCAAAACATCTACTCTTAAACAGAAAGTCCTTCTCAAAATATGAACTGTCTGTAGGGCCACCTGAAGGAACCCTGGTGCCACAGTGGTTAAGCACTTGGATGCTAACTGAAAGGTCGGCAGTTCGAACCCACTGCTCCACAGAAGAAAGATGTGGCAGTCTGCTTCCATAAGGATTACAACCTCGGAATCCCTATGGGACAGTTTTACTCTGTCCTGTAGGGTTACTATAAGTTGGAATTGACTCGACGGCAGTGGGTTTGGTTTTTTTGGTATAGAACCAACTTACCACAAGATAACTGAAAGACAGTGTGGGAATCTGTATCTTAGAAAACTTTGCTTTTGTTTTTCACTATTATTTCTAAGTAGAATGAATGGTAAAGCAATTTTCACATTTTTCAGACTGATGCAGGCAAATTTTAAACTTGGAGGGGTAGAGCTTGTTATACACTTAAGAGAAGTAAGATTAGATTCCTCTTCGGCTGATAACCAAGAAAATTCGGACTATGTTCAATCATTACAGGCTCGTGAAATGTCAAAATAAAAATTAGCTAATATTTTAAAAAATAATATCAAACCATCACTTTGGCCATATTAATTTGCCCTGGTTATTTTAATTGTGGTAAAAATAATACATAACAAAAATTTGCCAGTTCAACAATTTTTACATGTACAGTTCAGTGACACTGATTACATTCATCATGTTGTGCAACCATCACCACTATCCTTTTCCAAATTATTCCACCACCATTAACAGAAACTCAGTGTCCCCTAGGCAATGACTCCCTCTTTCCCTCTCCCTCTCACCCCTGGTAACCAGTAGTAAGCTTTAGTCTCTATACGTTTGCCTATTTCTCATACAGTGGGATCATACAGTATTTGTCCTTTTGTGACTGACTTAACTTCACTCAGCATAATGTTTTCAAGGCTCATCCATGTTGTGGACTGTATCAGGACTTCATTTCTCTTTACGGCTGAGTAATATTCCATTATATGTACATACCTCTGTTTATCCATTCATCTGCTGATGAGCATTTAGGTTGTTCCCACCTTTTGGCTATTATGAACACTGTACCCCAGTTATTTTTAAAATTCAAAATTTTTGAAAACATATTTCAATTGAATGCTTAATCCAGGTTTGTGTTGAAGAAGAGATCTGGCGTTTGAGTTCTCTAAGCTTTATTAAAAAGGTTGTCAACTGTGGCTGCTTATTGGAATTACCTTGGATGCTTTTTTAAAGATACTAATGCCCAGGCCCTACTCCCAGATCATAAAGCTAAAATGCCAGGTGCGGCCTGAGGATCAGTATATTTCAAAAGATGTCCAGGTGATTCTAATGTCTAGACAGGGTTGAAAACCACTGCCAGCCAGGTATTATGTGAGTTGATTTGCTTTAAGTGATCAGGGTTGTGATTTATTTCTTATCAAATACAGTCAGTTTTAATCATGAAGAGCCAGGTTTTGGTTTAATTATAGTGAATTAGCTTTGACCTCATTAAAAGGTATATATTGCTTCAAAAATATCAAATGTGCACATCATCAGAGCAATGTTCTTTAAATTAGTATTAGTCTATTGATTCTGTTAAAATTTAGCAATGTTTGAGGTATCGTTCTGCAGATATATTCACAGGCTGTACTGTAATGTTTCAATTCAAATGCCTTGGATTTTAAACATGCTGGTTACTATAAAAGATTGTAAGTACTTGGTACTTGGTGAAGTCCATTTTGTACATGCCAGCCCCGAGTCATCTTTTGGAAATCTGATCATGCCATTTTGAAACCTAAAATACTGAGTGATCGTCCATCAGTTTTAGGTAAGGTCCATGTGTACAGTCACCGTTACGTTGAAAAACGGTATTTGCAATGAATAAGTCGTTGGTCTTGCAAAATTCCATCATGCGATCTCCAGCGTCATTTCTTTCACCAAGGCCGTATTTTCCAACTACTGATCCTTTTTCTTTGTTTCCAACTTGCCCATCCCAATCTCCAGCAGTTAGCAATGTATCTTGATTACATGTTTGATCAATTTCAGGCTGCAGAAGTTGGTAAAAATCTTCAATTTCTTCATCTTTGGCATTAGTGGTTGGTGAGTAAATTTGAATAATAGTCATATTAACTATTCTTCCTTGTAGGCGTATGGGTATTATCCTATCACTGAGAGCGTTGTACTTCAGGATAGATCTTGAAATGTTTTTTTGATAATGAATGTGATGCCATTCCTCTTCAATTTGTCATTCCCGACATAGTAGACCATATGATTGTCCAATTCAAATGGCCAATACCAGTCCATTTCAGCTCACTAATGCCTAGGATAGTGATTCATTTCATTTTTGATGACTTCAGTTTTCCTGATTCATATTTCGTACATTCCATGTTCCGATTATCAATGGATGTTTGCAGCTGTTTCTTCTTATTTTGAATTGTGCCACATCAGCAAATGAAGGTCCCAAAAGCTTTACTCCAACTGTGTCATTAAAGTCGACTCTACTTTGAGGAGGCAGCTCTTCCCCAGTCGTATTTTGAGTGCCTTCTAACCTGAGGGGCTCATCTTCCAGCACTATATCAGACAGTGTTCCGCTGCTATTCAAAAGGTTTTCACTGGCCAGTTTTTTCAGAAGTAGACTGCCAGGTCCTTCTTCCTAGTCTGTCTTAAGATGTGGTGAAACCTGTCCACCGTGGGTGACCCACTGATATTTGAAATACCAGTGGCATAGTTTCCATCATCACAGCAACATGCAAACCACCACAGTATGACAAACTAACAGACAAGTTGTCTGTTCTACTGCTCTTATCCTCCAACACCCACCCATTGCTGTTGAGTCAATTCTGACTCATAGCGACCCTATAGGATAGAGTAGAACTGCCCGTAGGGTTTCCAAGGAGTGGCTAGTGGATTCAAACTGCTCACCTTTTGGTTAGCAGCCAAGCTCTTAACCACTTTGCCATCAGGGCTCCAGTCTTATCCCAGTGGGCCCTACATGCAGTCACAAGTATCTTTATAAAAGGGGGAGGCAGAGAGAGATTTGATGACAGAAGGCAATATGATGAAGAAAGTAGCGTGACCATGGAGATGGGGAGAAAAGGCAATGTGATTGGAGCACATAAACCAAAGAATGAGGACAGCCTCCAGAAGCTGGAAGAGACGAGAAAAGGGATTCTTCCTTAGAGCATCTGAGGGAGTACAGCCCTGCCAACATCTTGAAACTGATTTTGAACTCTGACCTCTAGAAATGTTCATTAGTATATAGAAACAAACTGATATTTGTGTGCTGATTTTGTACTCTCCAACTTTACTGAATTCATTAACTCTAGTAGCTTTTTTGTGGAATCTTTGGAATTTTCTATATATAGAATCATGTCATCTGTGAATAGAGATAGTTTTACTTCTTCCTTTCCAATATGTATTCCTTTTATTTCGTTCTCGTGCCTAATTGCTCTTGCTAAACCTTATAGTACAATGTTGAATAGCAGTGGTGAAGGCAGCATCTGTGTCTTGTTCCTGATCCTAGGGGGAAAACTTCTAGTTTTTCACCATTAATTATGATGTTGGCTGTGGATTTTTTGTTTATACCCTTTATCATTTGAGGAATTTACCTTCTATTTCTAGTTTGTGGAGCATTTTCTTATCATGAAAGGGTGTTGGATTTTGTCAAATGCCTTTTATGCCTCAGTTGAGATGATCATGTGATTTTCGCCTTCGTTGTATTAATGTAGCTTTGGTTATTGGGGTATTATGATGGTTAAGATTGTGTGTCAACTTGGCTGGGCCATGTTCTCGGTGTTTATACGTGATAACTCCCATGATTGGATATACTGTAAGTAGCCAATCAGGTGAAAGGGAGTTTCCTTGGGGGTGTGGCCTGCATCTAAACATAAGCAGACATTCTGGCTTTTTGCTTGCTCTGGATCCTTCAGTTGCCTCCTGTTTGTCTGACCTCTGGTTTTTGGGACTTGAGCTGTCAGCTTATCTGCTGAACTTGGGATTCGTCCATCTTCACA